TGTGATTTGCAGTGTGCCTTTTGGCCCACCCAGTTGTTGAAGTCATGTGCCAGCCTGGGGATGTGGCCTGGACACGATGCCGCCCTTGCCCGTCTCTCAGAACTGCGTCCTGACTGCTGCAGTTCTGCCGCCTTGCTTTTCAGAGGGCCTCGCCGTCTTTCCTGTCCCTGGTACGACTCACAGAGGCTCATTGTAGAAAATACGTACGTGATAAAAAGAAAGTTTAACAGTCAGGATTTGGGTGTATTTCCCTTCAGCCGGCGGGCCGTCCTCCCACCCATCCGTCCATTAGTAACAAAGTTATGTTCGTTCAGCAACAGTTGTGTATCCACTCTTTTGCACGTAACACTCATTCTGAGCATTTCCCCGTGTCGTCCAGGATTCTCTGAAACCCTGCTTGTCCATGGCTGTGCCGGGTGTCCTTGTGGCGTGTGTCATGATTTGCTCCCTGCAGAGCACGGAGGTGGTTCTGGAGCTTGTTGTCCTAAATACCTCTGTGCTGAGTGTCTCTTGCACGACTCCTGTTGGGATTTTGGGTGATGATGAGGACGAGACCTTGAGAAGCAGAGCCCCTGTCAGAGGTCGAGAGCAGTGTCTTCGGGGCTTTGTCCCCTCGGCTGGCGGCTGCAGGCCCTGTGCGCATTGCTGCTGCCCCGTGGCCGGAGGCGTGGGCTGCGCACAGGGCTCGGCCGGCAGCCCGGTTCTCCGAACCTTCAAGCAGTCCTCTGAGGACAGATTAGCTGAAGGGGGCTGCCCTGCAGGCCGAGAGTGGCCGGGGCCCAGGAAACACGTGTCCGTCTCCTCGGTGACCTTTTACACACTCCTGCAGCCAGTGCCGCCCTGCAGACCAGGCCCCTGGTCCTCCTGTGATGTCAATACAGGTCTGGCCCCTCTCACAGTCTGCATTGCGCAGCCGAGCCCTCAGTCATGCGACAGTTGTTCTAGGTCACGTGTGCATGACCCCACTTGCACCTGGGGAGCTCCAGGTCCAGTCCCTGCCCCTTACAGAGCTGGACACGCAGTGGACACGGGAACACGTGCTAAGTGATAGCAGGTGGCCGAACCTGGCGCCCCCCGGCTCCTGCAGCTCGTGTGGCATCCCGGGTGTGGTTCACTCAGTGGTCTCAAGCACTTTGTCTGCACAGGTGCAGCAGTGTCGTTTGTTAGCCTCCAGATACACCTGGTGTGCCTGGGCGCAGAGAGACTTGTCGCAGAAGCTCTGGGTCCCCGGAAGCTCTGCTCCGTGAGACGGCACAGAGGCCCCTCTCCTGAGAGCAGAGCAGGGATGGGGGAGACCGCAGGTCCTCAGGGGTCATTGACGTAAAGACATGAGGTGCAGCTGTTCTGTGACGAGCCCGTCTCTCCGGTGAGGTGGTGGCCTTCTCAGGGGCAGGGCCTCATGCCTGCGTCATCTTTCTGTCCCCGGTGCCTGCCGTGGGGCCCACCCTGTGGCCGCTGCTCAGTAGATGCTGCCACAAATGAGGAGGAAGTTGTAAGTGACTCTGGGACTGTGCTCTTGTCTGATGGCTTTCATTTCAGGCATCGTCGCCAGAGGGCTTCCTGAGCTGGGGGGCTTGGCGCCTGGTCTGGAGCCAGGCGCTCGCGGAGGGAGCAGGCAGCCCAGAGTCTGCTCCTGCCTCCTCCAGCTGCGGCCCGGCGGGTTGCTCCTCCTCTCCACCCCAGTTCCCTCACCTGTGCGACGGGATGAGGCCCCTTTCTCCTAAATGATAGGGTCGTGTAGGACCGGCAGGAAGCTCACTGGAAACAACGTGGCTCACGTGAAGGGATTGCTGCAGCTGCTGCTCCTTGGGCAGCATGTTGGTTCCTTAGGAGTGAAGCATTCCTTGGGAAAAGAAATATCGATTGACAGCATTCATGAGAGAGTTTCATGAGTAAAGCAATGTTCTGCTTTGTTAAATTTCTATTTCACTTGTTGTTTGGTGGGAAAGGATGCTCTCAGGTCATTACTCTGCCGGCTGGTTCCTGGCAAAGGCCTTTCTCTGCACCCGGAGGTGGGTTCCGCCCGCTCGGCTGCCTTGTCCCGTTGGCCCCGGGCCCTTCTTCCCGTGTCCTTTCTCATGGGGTCTGTGCACAGAGGGGAGAGGGAGGTGCGGGAGCCCGTGGAGAGCAGGAGCTGTTGTTTGTTCTGCTTTACGCTGGAGAACTAATAGTGTGTAGGGAGCAGAGAGAGGGAAGAACTGGTATCTGGAGAAAGAAGCAGACGTTTCGTGGACAGTGTGGTTGATAGGTGGGCGGGTTGGGGTCCAGTGCACCCAGGCCACTGCGGTGCCCTTTGCCCAGTGGCCTTCCAGGGCGAGGGCTGCAGGGGCGGGCTTCCCAGGTGCAGGCATAGGGTGCAGGGTCTTCAGAGAATTAAAGCACGAGTGATGGTGCCGTGTCGGTCTGCTTTTATCTCCATGAGCACCAGTTCTAGCAGTGTCAGAGACACAAACATTGCTGCACCTGGGTGGCTCTCTCCCTGGTCCTCCACCCTGCACACACCCTGTACACACACATACACACACATACCTCTCCCCCAGTCCCCCACCCTGCACACACACCCTGTACACACACACACACACACCTCTCCCCCTGGTCCCCCACCCTGCACACACACCCTGTACACACACACACACACACACACACACCTCTCCCCCTGGTCCCTCACCCTGCACATACACCCTGTACACACACACACACCCCTCTCCCCCTGGTCCCCCACCCTGCACACACACCCTGTACACACACACACACACACACACACCTCTCCCCCTGGTCCCCCACCCTGCACATACACCCTGTACACACACACACACACCTCTCCCCCAGTCCCCCACTCTGCATGCACACCCTGTACACACACATACACACACACCTCTCCCCCAGTCCCCCACCCTGCACACACACCCTGTACACACACACACACACACCCCTCTCCCCCTGGTCCCCCACCCTGCACACACACCCTGTACACATACACACACACACACACACCTCTCCCCCAGTCCCCCACCCTGCACACACACCCTGTACACACACACACACACACACACACCCCTCTCTCCCTGGTCCCCCACCCTGCACACACACCCTGTACACACACACTGTGTACACACACACACACACACACACCCCTCTCTCCCTGGTCCCCCACCCTGCACACACACCCTGCACACACACACCCCTCTCCCCCTGGTCTCCCACCCTGCACACACACACCCTGTATACACACACACACACACACCCCTCATGCCAGCAGGAGTGAGGCCAGGTGGATGGGCGGCAGGTGTGGTGGGAGGGCTGGTGGAGGCCCCTTCCAGCTGCCTCAGGGAAACAGGAAGTAGGGTCAGCATCGGACGCGAGGCTGTGGGTGTGGAGAGAGGAGGAGGGATGATCAATTTGCTCACCGTGGACAGAGTCGATGGCCTAGAGACTGTGTGTGACTGCTAGGTGGCCTTCAGAGTCTGAGGCCGGTGATGGTGGGTGTCTCAGGAACCAGGTGTAGACTTTCAGCTGTTCACCTGTGTGGGTGAGGACAGTGGAGCTGGGTTGAATTAGGTTGTGGTTCACCGAGCGGCTGTTGTGCTGCTGTGTCCCCCTGCAGGGCAGACACCCTGCCTGTATTCCTGTTCCATTTGCAGCGGAGCTGTCACTGCTTCTCCGCGGTCACCAGCATCGAGCCTTTAGGGAGCGGGGCTGACTGGCTTCAAGGCGCTCGTCCTGTCCAGCACACCAACCTCGCTTTCCGTGTGGATGTTACAAACCTGGCTTTTAATCATTACTGGATGTTAAATTTAATATTCTTACCTGCGCCTGTAATTTTTTTCTTTGTAATTCTCACCAGAGGATATTTTTTCATTTATCTGTAGATAGAGTGGGAGGGAAGGGGGAGAGAGAGAGAGAGAAAGAGGAAGAGAAACAGAGAGAAACATCGATTGGTTGCCTCCTGCACGACCCTGACCAGGGTCAGAGACTGAATCTCAACCAAGGTACATGCTCTTGACCGGAATCAAACCCAAAACTCTTCGGTCCACTGGCCCACGCTCTAACCACTGAGCTAAACCAGCCAGGACAACATGTGCCTGCAACTATTCAGACTCAAAAATCAGGTTTTCTCCCCAGATTATGTCTTCTTTGCCTAGTACAATGGATGAGCATAATGGACTATCAGTAAATGTTTGTGAACAGTGACGAGGCTTAAAGTAGGAATTAAGTGGCTTAGAAAAGGGACAGATTCCATCCTTTTTGTTCTTAGTTTCTGTGCCAGCCTGTGAAAAGGTGTCTTGGTTCTTGAGAAATGCTAATTTGATCAGGTGTGTATTTATTTATTTTTTTGTTAATCCTCACCCGAGGATATTTTTCCATTGATTTTTAGAAAGAGTGGAAGAGAGGGAGGGAGGGAGAGAGACAGAGAGAGAAACATCAGTGTGAGAGAGACACATCGATTGCTTGCCTCTCACACGTGTCCTGCCCGGGGCTGAGAATCAAACCTGCAACCCAGGTGTGTGCCTGGAACTGGGAATCGAACCCTCGACCTTTCAGTGCGTGGCCAACGCTCTAACCACAGAACATCGCTGGCCAGGGCACGATCAGGTTTTTTCTTGCACCTAAGTTAAGAGTGTAGCCAGAAGACTCGATTGCTGTCAGTGCAGTTCATTGATTTGGAGGTTGGATATAACTTTTCAAGTTCCACATTTGTTCTGCACTTGGCTGTGTCGGTACTGGAATCCAGGCTGTGGAGTAGATGTGGTAGCAGGGAGGTCCATATTGGACGTGATCCAGAAGGACTGAGGTTTTGAAAAACTGAAGAAAGAATTTTCTGGCAACAGGAGCCCCCGGATGTTGGAAGTGGGTTGCCCGGCTGTGCAGGTGGCCACCAGAGAGACGTCCTCGGCTGGAGGCTGGCGCTAGCTCAGAAGGGCAGCCTGCACGTTTTTCCTTGGGCAGTTGGAGGGACTCATTGTTTCTGTGAAGATGAAAAACTTTTTTCTCTCTTACAGAGAGCCCGGCCATCTTCATGTGTAAGTGCTGTAACCTCTTCTCACCGAGCCGGCTGGAGCTCCTGTCCCACGTGTCTGAGAAGCACGCAGAAGAAGGGGTCAGTGTTGACGAGATCATCATTCCCCTGAGGCCTCTGAGTACTCCCGAACCCACCAACCCCAGCAAAGCGGGAGATGGTAAGGGGCTGGGTGCTGGGTGGGGGCGTGCACCCACGGATGTGCCTGTCTGTGACAGGGATGCGGATTTGCTCTCAAATATTTGATTCCGCATTTGTGTCTGGTTTTTGTCTGGTGAGCACAGAAATGTGGAAAATCCAAAGAGCCACTCCAGAAGTCACAATAACGGTCTAATTGTACATCTGCTCAACTAAGAATTCCTGTGCCTGTAGGTGCTTGTCTAGTGCCTAGTTGCTAGATGGATGAAGGAGTGAATGAGTAAATGAATGGGTGAATGTATGAATGTATGAATGAGTAAATGAATGGATGAATGTATGAATGAGTGAATGAATGTATGAATGAGTGAGTGAATGAATGGGTGAATGTATGAAGGAGTGAATGCATGAATGGGTGAATGGATGAATGAATAAATGCAGCTGGCATCATCTGACAGATTAAAAGCATGAGCTTGTTGTCAGGTAAGCTCTAGTACCCCCTAGCGACGCTACCTGAAGCAAACGATGTTGGTTCTTCCCTAAGCCTCAGTTTGCTTATCTGAAAAGTGAAGACAGCCCCCTGTTGCAAGGCAGCTGTGAGGATTAAGGCAGAGAACATAGCTACAGGTCCTGGAATGACACCTGGCACCGAGAAGGCAAGAAAGGGAAACTGTTCTTAGACACGATACATAACATACCTGGTAACTCTTAAAACAGTATTTCTGAACTGATCATGTACACTGGAACAAGGACTCAAGTTTCAAAAAGCTTTGATTCGCACAGAATCCTTGTGGTCAGTCACGTGGGCACTGAGGCACACCTGTGTGCCACGTCCAGACGCCTCCACTGATGCATCGGACGCAGCAGGCGGGTGGCTTAGAGGACGTGCCCAGGCAGGGTAATGAGGTCCCCGCAGACAAAGCACTTACACGGTACAGGCACGAAACTGTTCTGTGTGGTGAGACAATGGCCAGTCTCCTGTGGCAGTGAATGTCCCCTCGTAGCGTTCATTAGTCACGCTAATAAGCCAATTGCTTTTTCCTGGGAATTATTCAGATGAATTTCTAAACAGGCTGGCTTATCGATCATCTGTCGGATGCAGGGAGAGACTCCGGACGAAAGCTCTGGTTAGCAGGTTCCTCTGGCATCCCCGGGTGCGCAGGGAGTTACCTGACAGAGCATTAAGTGTTGAGGGTTAGAGAAGTTGTCCTGGTGCCTGTTAGCCATGTCGGCAAGAGCTGAGGGGCTCCAGCCCCTGATGGTCAGATGAGGAGGAAGGTGGTGTTTCTGTCAGGGCCTGGGCACACATCTGCCCTCTCCCCACTGAGAAAGCGAGGGCGAGGTGGGCAGTCACGTGTGGTCATGTCTTATCTGATAGTTCACATTTTATTCTCTTTGCTTTGGGGGGTGGGGGAGGGTGACGAAGGTCTGTGTTGGGCACCAAGAACCTACCAAATAACCTGATTTAAAAAAACAGGGAAAAGACCCGAATAGACATTCTTCCAAAGATGCTGTCCAAGTGGCCGACAGGTACAGGTGCTCATTACTGATCATGAGGGACATGAAAATTAATGCCACCAGATCATCACCGCGCACCTGTCAGGACGGCAGCCGGCACAAGGCAAGAAGCGATGTGTCGGTGGGTGAGGCGGGAACCGTGTGCACTGTTGAGGGAACGTACGTTTGGTGCAGCCCTGCGGAGAAAACCAGTGGGAGGTTCCTTCAGAAGTCAGGAACGACTGTCGTGGGAGCCAGCAGTCCCCTCCTGGGCCTGCCTCCCGAGGGAAGGAAATCCGTCTCAGCAGGAGAGCGGCCCTTCCGGGTTCACTGCGGTGTTATTCACAGTAGACGAGATACGGAAACAGCCTGCGTATCAACGGAGAGGCGAATGGATCTGGAGAAGCCCCCCACACACACCGCCACCACGCTCAGGAAAATTACTCAGCCATGAAAAATAAGGAAGTCCTGCCATTTGCAACCTGGGTGAGCCCGGAGGACATTGTGCTGCGTGAAATATGACGGGCACAGAAAGACTAACCCTGTGCGGCCTCACTTCCATCAGGAGTCCACAGCAGCAACGTTCATGGAGCCAGAGGCAGCACACTGGCTGCGGGGGTGCGGGGGTGAGATGTTGTTCAAAGTGTACGGACTTTCCGATGAGATCTGGGAATCGAAGATGCAGCATGGTGATTGTAGGTAATAATACTGTATCTGTCATAGACTTGAGATTTGCTAGGAGAGTCCATCTAAGTGTTCTCACCACACACCCAACAAAAGGATCACTGTGTGAGGTGATAGACGTGTCAATGACCTTGATTGGGGGAAGCATTTCACAGTTCCGTGTATGTTAAATCATCTCGTACATCTTGGAAGTCACGTACAGCCTAAGTATATGTAATTTTTATTTGTCAGTGATTTCTTAACAAAGCTGGGGGGAAAATGAATCTCCTAGTCCCAGGGACCTCGAAGTTCAGACACCCCACTTTCTGCCACCCAGTCTGGGAGTAACTTAGGTTCATTCTTCATGACCTTATAGGGGAGCCTGGGTGACCCCATAGCTCTCTCCCCGCTGAGCAGGTAAGATGCCTCAGCTTTCAAAGACTATAGCTTAACAGATAGATAGGAGCAAAGCTTTAGTCAAGAGCTTGAAATGTGTGTGTACTTGCCTCTGGGGTCGAACATCTGTAAACTCAGAAAAATGCATAATCTCTTTGGTAAAATTCTTAGAGTGGGTAGAAGTCTGAAAGCTAATAGGTCAAGGGCTTTGAGGAGACCTGTTGCAGAGTTTTTCTTTATTTAGCTTGGCTTACTAAGATTTTCTTCCTACTAAAATGAAATGTGAATCAGGTAAAATAATTGGAATCTTTATTTTGTTTATAAATTGTAATTGATAACAAGGCAGGTAGCAGTGCACACGGAATGATGCGCATTGGCGTTTTGTAAGGTACACGTGTGCTGACTTCCGCCCTGCCCTCCTCACTGGTGTCGCTGAAAGGTAGCACATCCCCCGGCTGTCATCCTGAACTCCTCCCTCCTCCTGGAGACCCGCCCTCCTCTGTGTCCCTCCCACAGCCTCCCCCCTGCCCATCTCCCTCAGCGTCCTCCGCCATCGCGGGCGCTCTGCCGGGGAGCCCTGGGGTGTCTTTGCCTGGCCCACCCCACATGTCCCTAAGACGCCTTCAGCTCGAGGTCGCCTCTGCCTGGGGTAGGAGGCCCTTCCTTGGCCTCCTACAGCCTGACTGAACAACCCAGGCTCTTCATATGAGAATATTTCTTCAGAAATTGTTATTAAGAACTCCCGAGTTCTCTTTGCTCTGCGCATGTCCATAAACACGGAGGCCTGTGGACCCCGAGTTCCTCTGATGGTTCCCATTCAGGGTTCGCCTGCACGGTTCACTTTGGGCTGAGAGATACTTGGAATGGCTTAATTAAACCTTGAACTGAGTAGTAATTGATTTATCATTTTGGTTTCTCGTTATAATCTGAAGGTTCCTAAGTCCACTGGTCTATTTTATAGCTTTTCATCTTTTGGGCCATGAAGGAAGTGTCTGCGGAAGAGTCCCCTCCACTTCTGTCCCTCCTCCTAGTCACACCCCTGGCTGGGGCCACGAGAGATGGTCTGATGGACAGGCTCGTTCTCCCCTTGTGTCTATGTGTTGTGTGTGTGTGTATAAGAGAATGTGTGTGTGTGTGGTTGTATCTGTGAGCATGTTTGTGTGTGTGTCTATGTGTGTGTGTATAAGAGAATGTGTGTGGGTGTGTGGTTGTATCTGTGAGCGTGTGTGTCTGTGTGTGTGTATAAGAGAATGTGTGTGTGGATGTGTGGTTGTATCTGTGAGCATGTTTATGTGTGTGTCTGTGTGTGTGTGTATAAGAGAATGTGTGTGTGGATGTGTGGTTGTATCTGTGAGCGTGTGTGTCTGTGTGTGTGTATAAGAGAATGTGTGTGTGGATGTGTGGTTGTATCTGTGAGCATGTTTATGTGTGTGTCTGTGTGTGTGTGTATAAGAGAATGTGTGTGGGTGTGTGGTTGTATCTGTGAGCGTGTGTGTCTGTGTGTGTGTATAAGAGAATGTGTGTGTGGATGTGTGGTTGTATCTGTGAGCGTGTGTGTGTGTATAAGAGAATGTGTGTGGGTGTGTGGTTGTATCTGTGAGCATTTTTATGTGTGTGTCTGTGTGTGTGTATAAGAGAATGTGTGTGTGGATGTGTGGTTGTATCTGTGAGCGTGTGTGTGTGTGTGTGTGAGTTGGGCTTGCTGGAGGAGGGATTTCTGTGGGTCCCCTGACTTCTCCCTCTCCTTCCTCCTTTCAGACTTTCAACAGAAGCTCCTCTCTTCTCCCTTGCATCTTTTCCTTCCCTCCCCTCCCTTCTTCCATGTCTTTACTCAGTAACTGCGCTTGCTGTGTGCCCTGCCCGTGCCGGGCGCTGAGTACGCTGGGCCCGGCACTGTCCCATGGGGTCTGCTCCTGGCCGGTGGAGAGCAGCGAGGCAAAGAGGGTCTCAGTGCCAAGGGGAAAGTGTTCTCTGCAGTTAAGTCCGGGCTGTAAGAGGGGTGCTTAGTCTAGTGCTGGGGTTGCAGGAGGCTTCCCGGGGAGGCTGGCATCTCAGTTTAAATCTGCGCTGCCTGTTCTGGGCACTTAGCACAGGTAGGCGTCCTGCGTGCATGCAGTCGCACGGTTCTTCCGTTCTGGCCGCCTCGGACCTGAGCCCCTGATCGGCCCTGGCGGGCACGGGGGTCAGGGAAGGAGCACCCCTGGGACTCAGGTCGGTCCGGCCTCAGTCCTGCAGCTCTCACGTGATCGCCGGGGCTGCGGCTGGCACACAGGGGCCTTTGTGTGGATCCCTAAGAGGTGTCCCTGTTCTGGGCCTGTGAGTTAGTAGCAGACTTTCCGAGTGAACAAGCATAACGTGCTCAGGGCTGCTGCAGCCCGGGAGCTCAGCCTGGCTCCGCCGCCCACCTCGTGGCGCCTCCTGCAGAGCACGGCCTGCTCCACAGCTGGAGACCCTGCCGGTGGTGCAGGCGTGAGGCGTCTGCCATCTGTCCCAGGGAGATGAGATACTGGCCTTCCTCAAACAGGTGCCGAGACAAAGGCACAGAAGGCCCAGTGCCTGGTCGGCGCCTGAGGCGCGCAGGGGCGCCACCTCCCTTCGTAGCCAGGCTGCGATCCCTTTGTGGGATGTTGCTGGGCGGCACCGCCATCGCTTTTCTGCAGGACTTAGAGGTCAGAATTTCTGCACTGACAGACGGGAAGGAAGTTCACCGGCTCCGAGGCACACAGATCTGGGCTCCAATCCTAACGCTGCCACGCATCAGTTCCGTGTCTTGGGGCAAAGTGACTCATCTTCTTAAGCCTCAGTGTCCCCCCCTGCGGAATGGGAATGACACGACGCTCCCCTCCGGGATTTGATGGGAGATCCGCGTGGGTGCTGCGTGTGGAGCCGAGATGCGCACGCTCAGTCACCCCTCTTGTGGCAGTGACACCCCGGCACGTCCACCTGACTGTGATGACACGGGGGCAGGCCAGGCTGCCTCCGCCTCCCCGAGCCTTGCGTTCAGGCTGCCGTCCGCCCCACAAAGGGTTCTGTGTGGCCCAGAAGCCTCAAGGCTCACGCTCTCTCATTTCTGATAAATAATTCATCCTCTCTCTATTGCTTCCTGGGCTGGCTGGAAATAAATGTCAGGGACATTGACTGTCAGGGCGGACGGTGTTGGTGCTCAGGGCTTTTCTCGGGTCTCCAGTTGGTTTGACTTGAGATTGCGCTGCAGGCGAGAGACTGAAGGCCGGCCCTGCCGTGGTCTGGGCATAATGAAGCCCTCATTCCAGGCTGGCTGGCTCGGCGTGTGAGATCTTCAAAGTGAGGGAGGAGGGGAAGGGCCCGAATGGACAGGCGCGGTGTACGTCGAGGTGTCACAGGGGACTGGCTGGGGGGGCGGCTTCTTCAGAGAGTCCGGGTCAGCGTACTGATGACTGTGTCTGTCCTAACGAACGGCTGTTGTTTATCGATCACCTCCTGAGTGCTGTGCCCAGATTTTGCTGGATTTCTCTCATTAATAGTGACTCTACAAAACAGTCAGTTTGTGTTGATTTTTCATGTTAGAAACTGAGCTCTGCAGGGATTTGAACCCAGGGCGGCCTCGCTGCAGCCAGGATTGTCAGCACCCACATTTACCTGTCTAGAACCCACCTGAGGGCTCCATGACTCAGCAGGAACGTTGGGCTGGACGTGAGGAAACCCAGACCCCCGCTCTGCGAAGGTGGACAGTGGCGGCTACTTCTGGAAAGCGGCCGAGTCGCTCGGCCTTTGGGACCCTCGTTTCTTTCCCTGGTGTGAAAACTACATTTGCTACATCATCTCTTAAGGATTTTATGGGGATCCAATGAGATAATAGCTGGAAAGTGCCTTGCAAACCTGAGTGATGTACAGATAAAGGGCCTACGTTATCGGATTCTTTTACGATGCTGGGCTACTTCTTCCATCAGGCTCACGTTGCCTTTCGATTAAATCAGAAGCCTTGGCTGATCAATCTGTCCCTTGCTGGCATCTGGCCCTGAATCTGCAAGGGCTGTGCTCTGACCACGTGGATGTTGTCTCCACCTGGGGGTGTGGGACGGGGTTGACCACGTGGATGTTGTCTCCACCTGGGGGTGTGGGACGGGGTTGGCCACGTGGATGTTGTCTCCACCTGTGGGTGTGGGACGGGGTTGGCCACGTGGATGTTGTCTCCACCTGTGGGTGTGGGACGGGGTTGGCCACGTGGATGTTGTCTCCACCTGTGGGTGTGGGACGGGGTTGGCCACGTGGATGTTGTCTCCACCTGGGGGTGTGGGACGGGGTTGGCCACGTGGATGTTGTCTCCACCTGTGGGTGTGGGACGGGGTTGGCCACGTGGATGTTGTCTCCACCTGGGGATGTGGGACGGGGTTGGCCACGTGGATGTTGTCTCCACCTGGGGGTGTGGGACGGGGTTGGCATGCACTTTGCTCGCCCCCTTTTTCCTGTTGGAAATGGGACCGTAGGAAATGACTTACTTTACTAATGCTTTTCCTAGTGTTAAAAAAAAAGGTGAAAGAAGATAATTTAGGTGATTACAAACAAACTTTAATATGTTTTCTTTTTAAATTGTATTGATTTTAGAGAGAGAGGAAGGGAGAGGGAGAGAGAGAGAGAGAAAAATCCATGTGAGAGAGAAACATCGATTGGCTGCCTCCCACACGCACCCCCACTGGGGATAAACCTGCAACCTGGGCTTGTGCCCTGACCAGGAAACGAACCAACGACCTTTCAGTGTCCAGGACGATGCTCAACCAACTGAGCCAACCGGCCAGGGCAGACATACTAAAACTTCACAGCGGGCCGGCTCCATTCAGAGCTACCGAGTGGGCGGAAGGCAGGAAGCTTTTGTAGGGTAAGAATAGGAACAGGAAGGAAATACAGAGGCCAGAGCGCCTTGGTGTTTGGGGTGGCTGAGGGCACACGCCGCTTTCTGGTCAGTGGAGCATTGACAGGGACATGAAAGTTGCCTGAGTTTGGGTTTGCTGACATGGCACCCGGGGCAGGAGCAGCTCCGTGTTGGGCCTAGACGTTTACATCAGCACCATCATTAAGCAACTGATCAGTGTGTTTATTGACAACTTATTAATTTATTTATAAACTTCCATATTAAGTGTCCAGCTCTGTTGGAGACCCTGGGAGGGTGGACTCCAAGGCCAGCTCAGACCTCAGGAAGTGTGATATAAGGTGGAGAAAGAGGGGAACACTGTACATGGGGCACAAGCCGGGAGGGGACGAGCTGCTTCATAACGGGACGGACTCATGGAGGAGGCACTGAGATTTGAACTGGGTGTGAAACGGTAGGATTTGAGTTGGGTTTGGGGTCTGACTGGGGGTGCAGGAGGCAGTCACAGGCAGGGGGAATAGTACAGAGATGTAAAACAAGACAGGGATCATCTGTGCATATTTAGGGAAACCTAGAACACTGCACTGAGCAGGAGGGCGCAGTGTGTGTGTGTGTGTGTGTGTGTGTGTGCGCGCGCGCACATGTAGGGTTAAACCACGTGGTAAAGGGCCCAGACAGCCGGGTTTGAGAGTTATGGGCTAAGTCTTTGAGAGGAGAGGAAGGTTCTGGAGTGAGGGAACGGAGACTAGGGATGGAGGCGAGGAAGACAGCAGAGGCTGGACCCGGACTGTGTGCAGGGAGCGGCGGCGGAGGTACCTTGAGAACGGAAGGGGCTTACTGGGCACCATCTTTAGGACACGGTCCAGAGTTCAGCGACAGACTGAGGAACGGAATTCAGGGACCAAGAAGAATGGGAAGTAACACCATTAAAATGTTTTGATTGAGAGGTTCACATTCTCCCGCCCATTTCCAAGATTCTCAGCTCTTCTATAAAATGTGGGGGAGTCAACACCATCACCTCGTTTTCAGTGCTTAAAGTATTCCACGTTCGTGTATATATGTTTCGTTTCTAGCTAACTAATGGGTCTTGAGGGTATGAATTATGGATGTAGCCAGATGTGAGATTAGTTTTGTCAGCATTGTGTTAGAGGCTTTCCAGAGCTTTCCGGGCTGATTTTATGTTTCTCCCTTGACAGCCACGTTCCACACTGCCTGTCGGCTTCATTCACCAGCATTCGCCAGGTGCCTGTTGTGCAGGACCAGGCCCGGTGGTTTCTGAGACCTGGGTTTACGTGGAGAGTGGACTGGGGGCTGCTGGCCCCCACCGTACAGCAGCAGCCTGGGCAGAGGATCTGCTGGCATGCTTTCTGAAGTCACAGCATTCCAGAGCGGGTGATCCCGGGCGGGCCAAAGTAGGTTTACAGTTGTGAGTACGTGACACAGTTTGTTCTTGCGTTATTACTTATTAACTATCATATTATTTTCCATGCGAATAACTGTAAACCTGCTTTTGCCCCACCCTGTATATTAGCATAGAGATGCTGCAATACTGACACTCCAGGTATTGTTTGCAGCCGTTCACCTCTGGAACGGCCTCAGGCTTTTCTTTCTTTTTAAAATCATTTATCTTCAGATAGAGTGGGAGGGAAGGAGGGAAAGAGGGGGAGAGAGAGAGAAGGAGAGAGAGAGGGGGGGAGAGAGAGAAACATCGACATGAGAGAGACACATCAGTTGGTTGCCTCCGGCATGACCCGACCAAGGCTGGGACTGAACCGCAACCCTTGACTGGAATCAAACCCACAACTCTTTGGTCTTTGGGTCAACTGAGCGAAACCAGCCAGGGCCAGGCTTTTCATTTTTAATAAAAGGTGACACCAAACCTGTTCCCAGGCTGGGAAGGTGCGTGTACGCCAGCGAGGAGGCCCCGTGTGATGGCATCGTGCCCTCTGGTTTCCTTGTAGAGACGGTGGTCATGAAGAGGAAGAGAGGCAGGCCTAAGGGGTCCACCAAGAAGCCCAGCGCCGAGGAGGAGCTGGCGGAACCCGTGGCCATCCAGAGCGAGGCCTGCCCGCTGGCCCTGGAGGAGGCCCGAGGCCCGGCCCCCAGCCGCCTGCAATGCCCCAAGTGCTCGCGGAAGTTCTCCAGCTTGAGGCAGCTGAGCAAGCACATCTGCATCGCCCTGCTGGACCTGGGCCAGGACGAGCGCCACGCAGGTAGCCCCGCCCCACCGGTAGCCCCGCCCCACCGGTAGCCCCGCCCCCGCGGCCCTCCATTCCTGGCACAGCTCCTTGGCTCCTGCCAGCTCTCACTGTTCGCTCACTGCTTGGAAACCGCCTGTATTCATTCCCCTCTCCCCTCTCTGGGAAAGGGCTCATATTTGTCCTGACCGTGGACTGTGGCCCTGCATAATCTTCGACTTCAATGTGTCACCTGGTGGGTGGTGTCCAGAGAGTCCGAGTCACGGGGGTAACTTAGGTGATTTGGTGTTGCAGAGAGGGTAAAACGGTCTCTACCCTTAAAGAGGTAGGACAGATACATATTTGATCAATGAATATGGGCAAAGGAGTCATCTTCATACATGCGGTCTGGTAGATACAATGTTTCAAATCATAGGGTCCACAGAGAAAATAATAAGAGTCTAGTTCAGAGTCTAAGAAACCCTTTTAAAAAGAACACTTTGTGCTTTAAAAATAATTGTGATTCACAGGTTGCAAAGGGCATAGCGAGAGGTCTCATGTACACTTTGCCCCATTTCCCCCCAGTGCATGACTACAGCGTGATATCAAGTCAGGACTGCCACCCGGAGAGGTGACACATGTCTGGTCCTGTCACCCCACACGTGGAGATTTGTGCAGCCACCGCCACAGTCGGGAGGCAGAGGGTCCCATCGCCACAAAGCTCCCCCTGGGGCTCTCCTTTTAGTCACCCCACCCTCTCCCGGGCAACCACTGACCTGTAATTTTGCCATTTCGAGAATATTAACTGAATCCCAGTGTGTGACCTTTTAAGACTGGCTTAGAAAACCCCTTTTCAGACCCGATTTCATAATTTTATAACTGAGGAAGCTGAGGTCCCCGCGATGGTCGTCCAGAGCCACACGTAGGGTCGGGACACCATCCCACGTCTCCCCACTTCTGCCCTGTGGCCACCGGCTCTACCCCATCGGTGTCTTCAAACCAGGCTCCTTTCTACTCCGGGGTGTAGATCAGATTCCTTGTAGCACACTCTCAGCTTTGGCTCTCACCCTAGAAGAAATGAAAGTGCCACTTTGCGTGGTTCTGAGGGTCGTTTTCCGCTCTGCGGTCCACGAGGTGGTGTCTTTGGCGATGGCAGGCGGGCACAGCCCTTTCTAACAAGATGACCCGCTTCCTCTAGTAATGAGCTGTATAGACAGTGGTCTCTTGTCCCACTGCTCTGCGTGACCAAATAGACTTGAACGATTACCGCATGGAAACAGAAGCTCTGACCACTGCGGAGGCTTCTCACATATGCAGAGGTGACCTCGTGCCCAGCTGCCCCGTGGCTGACGTCTGTGCGATGGCTTTGCGTGTCTCAGTTCGTCAAGCACAATATGACACTTTGGAAAACTCTCGCATAATTGTACTAAACGTGCTCCATAAAGAGCAGCTTTGTGACATTTCAAACAATTGACCTTGACTCTTCAGCTTGTGAAAACAATTAGAGGGAAACAAAATAAACTCTGCCCTGCAGTGAACCGAGGCAAGTTACAACAACACTTTTGATATGTATTCAATATTTATTTTATTCTGCATTTGAATAGTAAAAGAAACCAGGGAAACAGATTTTTTTTATGCCATTATGTGCAACAACTGGTGGGTTTTTTTGGTTGTTGTTTTTTTAAATCCTTACCCGAGAATATTTTTCCATTTATTTTCAGACAGAGTGGGGGTGGGGAAGGGGAGAGAGAGAAACATCAATGTGAGAGAGACACATTGATTGGTTGCCTCCGCATGACCCTGACCAGGGCTGGAGACCAAGCATCAACCAAGGTACATGGAATTGAACCTGAGACTCTTTGGTCCAGGGACCGACGCTCTAACCACTGAGCAAAACTGGCGGGGGCAACAGCTGGTGTTTTGAAAAACATTTTACAGCCTACACAAATCAGTATGTCAGGTTTATAAAAGTGACTTCTGAACCATTCCAAGCTTGTCATTTCCGGGGTCATTTTATGCAGAGTTGCAAAGGTGCTCTAGCTGCCGTTAAATCCTTAAAGAAGACACGGCACTCTGCGAAGAGTTGACCTAAGATGCACTTACCGTCTTCGTGACAGATCTTTACAGCATTTCCTGCGAGTTCCACTGTGTTTGTTAGCATTCCGCCGACTTGACAGTCACTGCTCTGATTGGAACCTGCTCCGAGCGAGTCATGTTTGAGAGCACACGGTGGGAAGGCAGTGCACTGTCTCGGAATGTGACATGTGCTCTGTGGAAGGTGTGTGACGCTCAGATTGCGCCTGTCGTTTCTCAGCGCTTCCTGTCAGCCCTCTGTCATCTCTGCACCAGGCAGGTGGCTGGGACGCCGGGGTGATGTAGGCGATGGTCTCCAACCACGCCCCGTCTTCGGCAAGCCACAGTGTGGGTTGTGCCCTTCCGTGACCCCCTCACTCTGTCTACCTGGTGAGAGGGAAGGGGAACCCTGGATGGTCGCACCTTGGCCCATGCAGTCATTGGCCAGAACGGATCGCTGGGCCCCGCCCGACTTCATGGGGCCAGGAAGTGCCCCCTGCCACGTGCCCAGCGGTGTTCTGGTGGCTCACAAACATCCTCCTTGCCGACGCTCTCTGCAGCCTGAGCCTGTATCTCAGCTCGATGTTCCAAGGCGGTCTGAGCTGTGTGGCAGGCTCAGTGCTGAACTCATCATGGAGCTCCTGATAAAGTGGCCCTCCCCTGTCCTGGCTGGTGACCAGCCCCCCGTCCAGATCCGATGTCTCAGCTGGAAACCTCTCCTCAAAAGCAGAACATATTTTTGTTGTTAATCCTCACCCGAGGATATTCTTCCATTGATTTTTAGATAGAGTGGAAAGGAGGGAGAGAAAGAGAGAAACGTTGATGTGAGACACATCGATTGATTGCCTCCTGCCTGACCCTGACCTGGGCCAGGGATTGATGCTCTAACCACTGAGCAACCAGCCAGGACTGCCAGGACCTTTGAGGGAAGACTTTCTTGTTCAGCATCCGGGAGCCAGCGGGGGGCTGCGCTGCTCAGTGACTAGGTGGCGGAAGCCTGTGGGTGCATCCTGGAGGGCTTCCTGAGGTGGCATGCGGGGGTGGGGGAGGAGGTGGGACAGGTGTTTTTCCCACATGACAGTTCACGAAAAGCCCTCAGTTCTGGAATTCAGGGGCCTTTGAGGAATGCCGGGTCGAACTCTGCACTTCGTGCGGGTGAGGACGGTCCTCGGGGAGACAAAGGCCTCGGGCCCGCCCTGTGCTGATCTCTCTGCGGGACCGCAGCAGACAGGTGCTCAGCTGGCCTGTCCCCAGAGCAAGGGAGAGGGGGCGTGGGAGGGAGGGAGGAGAGCGGTGCGTGTTCAGCAGGTCAGACAGAATTGCTGCGGCCAGTTTGCTTCTCCAGCTGCTGCGTGAGCAGCGAGGGGTGGACTGGTGAGGGGCCCGGGATACAAGCCCTTCTCCGTCTGCTGTTCTGCTAACTGTCCTGGGCCTTAGAGTGGTGGGGTTGATAGCCTGGACTCTCCGGGGCGTTCTGAGATTTAATTAGTTCTGGGGCAGTTCAGAACAGGTACTTGAGAATATTAGCGCAGTGTTAATTAGAAGTGGATGCAGGGGACATGTCTGCCCACGTGTTGTCACCTGCACAGTTAACGCTTCGCCTGCCCATAACCACGTTAGCGCCTTGTGTGAGCGTTACGACACGTAAGGACTCCGAAGGGCGGAAACCCAGAAAGAGCCCCCCGCTGAGAGTGTGGGGTTGGGAAACGGAGCAGCATCCCTCCCAAAGGACTCGCCCAGGACAGGAGGGGATGGTGAGCAGAGAGCAGGGAGATGTTGAAGTAAAAGGAACTTGCTGGAGATTTTGTATCGATGGGCTTCATTTTTCTTTGGGAGGGTTCAGAAGCTCATCAGGTTACGGGAGTGTGTCCGTGTGATCGGGCTGAGAAGACGGGAGTGTTTGAACCTTTTAGTTGATCACAAGTAGGTACTGAGCACCTGCTGTTTGTGTGCCGGGTGGCTGCCGGGACCTGAGGTCCAGCGGACAGGGGTGCGTGCGGTGATGCTGCTCGGAGTCAGTGGGCCGGGCAGAGCGTGGCCTTGACACTGGGTTGACGGCGATGAGCATCTGTAGAGGCGACGCAGGGTCTTCAGGGACTCAGAGAAAGTCCTTCCAGAGCCGCCAGGGGAGCAGGCTGGAGGTCAGAGAGGACTGGGGCAGAGGTCTGAGGGCCCCGGCTCCGTATTCTGAAGAGCGGCTGCAGTGGTGGTGAGGCAGGGAGGAGGGGCGGGAGGCTGCGTGCCGGCGGGGCTGAGGAGCAGGTGTGGCCAGCCCCTGGACTGAGGGCCGGCCAGGTGCTGGCTTGGGTGCCCGCATGGAGGGAGGCTCCGTCAGTCTTGAGGGCCCGAGGCAGAAGCAGGTTTGTGGGGAAGAGGATGAGTTGGCTCTGGTCCCACGTTGAATTTGGGGGATGATGGGTGTCCATGGGGATGTCATCCACCTGGGTGTGTAGCCCTGGCCTTGCCGCCCTCAGCAGATGGTCATCAAGGGACTGGATGGAAGCAGAAGGACAGAACAGCAGGGCGGCCACCTGAGGACCCTGCTGCTGGACACCCACGGGGTGGGGGAGGGCGGGGTCAGTGATGGAAATGGGGCAGGGAGCTTCAGCGAGGTGAGCCTGGGATAGAGGCCATTGGTCCTGGGGCTGTGCTTGGGCTGACCGGAGCAGGAGCCTCGCCGGTTGCTTTAAAAGGGAAGGAATGAAGATGAGCTTGGGGATGGACAGGAGCCAGCTAGAGATGACTGAAGGCTGGCCGTGGAGCCGCAGGGTGTGGCAGGAAGCAGACTGATGGGCAGCCTGAGAGTGTAGTAAAGAGATTGTTGGTCCTGGGGGAAATGTGGGAAGTGGGGTGGTGTTAACGTCCTAGGTTTAGAGGACCAGGGGACAGTGGTCTCCAGCACTCTGAGGGAGGGTGTTGAGGCCTCGGGGAGGATGAAGTCAGCCTGAGGTTCCAGCAGGGAG